TAAGCATCTCACCACTGGCAGGGTTCTCTGTGTGGCTCCATCAGCTCCAGGGCTCTTAACGTAGCTTCACGTGTCTCACAGGGAGTGAGCGTGTATCCTGCCTTCAATGAGTTAGTTATCTCTTCATGACCTTCAAATAGGTCATCAAGTTGTGACTTGGTTACCAGGCTAAATTCCACCCCTTCAAGTCTCAAATTCTTTAGCCATATGTAATTTTCAAAAATAAAATATCTGTACCTAACAGGATAAAACTAAAATACATACAATTCAATATGTCACACCCTCATTTAAACATAACATTCTGAGTGAACAAAATACATATACATATGTGAACAGCTACACCAGTGATTCTCAACCTTCCTAATGCCACGACCCTTTAATACAGTTCCTCATGTAGTGACACCCCCCCACACACACCATAAAACGATTTTTGTTGTTACTTTATAACTGTAATTTTGCTACTGTTATGAATCAGGCAACCTCAGTGAAAAGGGTCGTTTGACCCCCAACAGGGTTGCAACCCACAAGTTGAGAATCACTGAGCTTTACCATAACCCTATGAATATATTCCCCCACCTATGAAAGTGTGTAAGGCAGCCACTTCTGCCTTTATCCACCCAATTTTGGGGATCCAGTTTCTATAATGCCCAGTGCTCTCAGGAAACAGTTATATTCTTTGACGAGAAGAATCTTTATTCCAGTTGGAACCTTGTGAGTCTGCATCCGTAAGCAAAGTCACATTGACAGGCCTCATAAAGAACAGCATTATGCTCTAGTTCACAGGGTAAAAAAATCCTCTTCATCTGGTTGGGTTCTGGTCAACTCAAAGTGGTGTCTGCCTCACTAGGGTGCCCGTTGTTCACCTTGCCTTTAGACCAGACCCCTTCACAAGTTCTCAACAATTCTAGTCCCCTTGGGTTAGGTCTTGAGCTTCAGACCAGTCAACCTACACTCTCATCACCTCTAGTTCCTGTAAACCAGGCCCATGGGTGTCAGTGGCCAGACTCAACCTATCTCCTTATTGCTGCATTTTTCTCACACTCAACAAGTGGATCCAGGAGGTCACCTAGCAAGCATGTCAGCTTGCCCAGAGGTTCCCTTTTAAGAGTTCAATCCCAGAGCAGGAGTTACTTCAGGGCTCCAGATTTTTCCAGCTCCTGACAAAACCCACTAGTTCAAGATTCAAAAAGCCAGAGTTCCTTTTCCTTCAATCTGTCAACAGCCCTCTAGGCAAGTCTCTTGGAATGCAAATGTCCCGAGTACTCCAAAGCATTGGGTGGGGCTTATCTTTTCAGAGCCTTCTTGCAGGTGTGTCCTAAACCATTTAAAGATTCAGATTTTAATGGCTCTAGGCAAATGGGTTTCCAAGCTTTCTATTTTCATACTTCCCAATAATCATTTCTATCAATCATTAATCAATAACAATAAGCAAAAGAAATCAGTACAAAGAATCAAATTCTTAAAACAATTCTTAAAAGCAGTCCAGTTCAATCCAAATTTAGCATATCTAAATCCTTATCTAAACTATTCTATTGATACTAAATATGGGATTAGGCCTCTGACAGCATCAAGCCAGAGCCTGGCTGTCAGCCATTTTGCCCTTCTGTCAGCCATTTTCACTAAACTGAGAAATTCAGGGGGCGATTTTGTCCCCTGGACTCAAATTAATCACATTCATTTTTGCCATTTCACACAGGAATAACCCAAAACAACACCAATGAAAAGAGTAAAAACTTTTAACTTCCCATGTTCTTGCCAGAAAACAACCCAGTAAACCACATGGACATATATCTGACCTCTGGCTAGCCAAAGAAGAAACACTACATGAAGTCAAATAACCACCCACTCTCCATCCTTATGAGGTATT